AAATCGAAGTGATATTTACTGGCTAGTGTAGTGTACCCTTGTCGATATTCATCTCCAGTTAAGGCAATGCCTTGGTGCATTCACAGGAATATTCATTGACGAAATCCATGTTGTTCAGTCAAATGTATCCGGAGATCTTTTCCCCTTTCGAAGATGTGAAGCGTCTAGTCATTGTCTTCTTCTCTTTGATACCGCATCCACAACAATCTTCCAAATAAACTGTTCAGTACCAAAGAAGTATTTTGACAGTGTATTTCGTTAAATAGAAAGCATCAAGCAAGGCATTACTCATCATGTATGTGAGGCGCATGTATGAACGTTTCAAGTCCTCGATCAAAAAATTAAATGAGACGTCATATCTAGGCCATTTCACAAAATGTTCCACATGACTTTTACGCTTTCTTTTGCAAAGCACTGTCCCCACGAGGTACAATGCATCGTCATCCTTCACAGTTTTTTAAGTTCTTCTTCGTAGAAAATACCTTCCAACCTTTTGCTTCTATGATCAGAAACTGTTTAAACATCGTTGCGTATTGAGACATCCAGTGACCATGAACACATCTTTGGGTCAATTTGGCAAGTATTCTTTTTTGAAAACGTATTTGGTTTTACTGATTCCAGACCCTGTATCGATGGTGAGTTTATAATACCTTCTTCTTCTCCTATATCTCCGGCCCTTGTCATCGTACCAGGAATGAAGGAATGCATCAAATTGTCTAATACTGGTAGGTACTTTAGGTCAATGTGCTGTTCTTCGTAAAATATCTGAACATATTTTTCTTAATTGTTTTGTTGTGCCACTTCATGACAATGGCATTAGCTTCTTTTTCTTTTTTCTTGAGTCTTTCAAGGGTATGACAAAAGCATATTTTGAAAAAAAACACGTCAATGCGCGTCAACAAGAACTTGTACCCTACATTGTATCAAAGAGAGGTTGCATAGATCTGCACCCACTGCTCGTCTGCTTGGAAAATCACTATCTTTTTTCTTTCATAGGAACGTTTAGCGGGCATATGTAGTGTATATTTATCTTGTTCACTCAGACACTTTCTCACATCTGACTTGGTTATCTTCTTTCCTCTTTGTGTTTTTACAGTGACGTTATTGGCATTTAAACCACATAACTTCTCGGACTTGGGCATTGTAAAACAGTTATCCTAGGAGGAACCTTCTTCTTGGGTGTGCTGCTGTGCATGTAAGACCATCGATCCACACTGCCGACAAGGCCATGAGTAATGTTTGACATTTTCGATTACTTTATTACTTTATTAATTATTTCCACCCGATGGGATTGAAATTCTCCCTTTTACGCAAGAAATCATTTGTGAAATTTTTTTGACAGTGCCTGGAGAAGCTTCATGTAACTCAATAACTTTCTTCGCTGACTAGGTGTTTGCAAGATGTTTCTTTTACACATTGAGTGAACATTCACACAGACACTGTATTAAGTCACTAGTGGCCATGGCTCCACTGAATATCCCCTTTTGTTGATTCGAGTTGGCTTTGTGTAATACTGAGAGGATATTTGCGTTCTTTCACATGAAAGCTGGCATATTGAAATTAGACGTTTCTCGTGCACACTATCAGTACTTGAGATAAATCAATGTTCGTTCATACTCCGGAGTGTCTGGCCTCAGATCTACGAGGAGGCACATGTGAGGTTCTTGCATGGCGTCGTGCTTTCTGAACGAATTTAACACTTAAAGGGTACAATTGCATAGCCAGAATGTTGACGATGCACCATCGAGTTTTTTAAACACGAAAATGTAGTGTGTATTGAGAATGATGGTTCTTAATTGCCTGCCCCGATGAAAGATATTTTGCAGAATCAATATCATGGATAGGTTTTGAGATGTCATGGATATCATGGATAGGTGAGATCCCTGTTAACAGGATCGATGATCTATCGATAATCGACAATCCTTCTATAGAATTAATTTGAGGTGATGCATGTGTCATTTTCTGCATAGGCTGACTGAATCTCATTGTAGCACCATTAGATGACATCCAGGTAATAACACTGAATTGTTTTGCCCGACTTTGTGGGTCTATATGTGATTCTTGTTATCACGTTGTTTCCACTGTACAGCATCCAATTTAAAACAAAATAAAGCAGTACACATAGCCAAAATAGGTGAGTGCCAGAACTATGTCGGTTTTGGTGGAGCCCATGTCAATGTGACTGTCGAACTTCAAATGTATGAATTAAGAGTAACTGATGACTCCACTTCTATTTAGATTTTAGAAGCCGTATGTGAGGGTACAGTGATCACCTTTTGTCACCCATTTGTCATATACTAAATTGCACGTTTTAACTTCTTCTCTATTGAATATTTTACTTTCCTTATGCATTATTTTTCATATGTAGAAGCTCGCTTGTCCCCAAACGAGTTGATTCATGGAATTTAATAATTTTGTGATGTAATTATCCACGGGATTTCTCTCATCAGATCCCATTCTCCCGCTTGCTGGATGTAAATGATATCTGTTACGTTAAGTCACAGGTTGTACGCTTCTATTTCTACTGTGTTGCATTATATAGAATTGTTTGATTTAACTCGTTTTAATCCAAACATAACGCTATTAAGTTTTCCATAATTTATTTCGTAAAAAACAACATATTCCTAATGAGCGGAAGAGTGCAAAGATCAACACACCTAGGTTTTGTCATCTGAGTTCTAGTAGTTATTTATTAAAATTACTGGATTTGTTCAAACAATAACAAAACCCGCCAAGTGATTTTCTAATATCGTTGTACCTGTCCCGGTAAGGTAAAAACAATCGATGAATATTGAACTATGTTAGGTCTAATGTATAATGTATGTGTATATTTACACGTTCAGGTGTTTTCTATTATACAATAGCATATGTGCAATGGGGGTATAACTTACAAGCGGAATTGTGAGCACATATGTATAACTCATTGTTGAATATTAAATATCAATTGACATTTACAATGCTTTCCTTTCGTCGGCTCAGTCGAAAATATTGACGCACAATATGTTTGCAAATCGTGTTATGTAGTTAAATTTCTCTAGCATATGTGTTGTGTGCGGTGGTTGAAAATCTATATTTAATTGTATGAGTGTGTAAATGGGTCTAAAAATTAAACTCAAAATAAATACGTGTTTACCACACCGGTGATTGTCTGTCTCTGTGGAAATACAAATTAAATGAACCCAATGTTATTCAGGCTAAAATGTTGATTGTGTTTTAGTGATACAGTATTTTTAGTGTGTTTTGGTTGTCATTAATTAAATATTAATTGATTTCAAGCGTATTTCGTGTTTTTGACATCACTCTTATTGTGTTCACGTTG